ACCTAATTCACTACACTGTGCCAAATTTCGTGCAAATCGAAAGATATATAGGTATACCATTTACCTAAAATCGGACGAATATATATTTGGGAGCTATATCTAAATCTGAACCGATTTTCACGAAATTTAACACACATCGTTCTAGGCTTAAATCAGAATGCTATGCCAAATTTCGTGCAAATCGAAAGATATTTAAGGTCTTTGATACATTATTTACCTCAAATCGGACGAATATATATATGAGAGCTATATCTAAATATAAAATGATCTTCACCAAACTTAGGACACATCATTCTAGACTTTATTCAGTACGCTGTGCCAAATTTCGTGCAAATCGAAAGATATTTAGGGACTTTGGTGCGCAATTTGCCCTTAATCGGACGAAAATGTATATGGGAGCTATATTTAAATCTGAACCGATTTTTCCCAATTTCAATAGGGTTTGTCCTTGGGCCAAATAAATGAGCTGTGCCAAATTTCATCCAATTTGGATTATGAATGCGACCCGTACTTTGTTTACAATTTAATATGGACAAGCAGACGGACGGACAGACATGCATAAATCGACTTAGAAAGTGATTCTATGTATATTCTGAAAAGGAACCATGTGTCTATCTCGTTTCTTTTTGCCTGTTACAAACATATGCACAAAGACAGTATGGTAAGGGTATAAAAGTCCACGCTTTGGAAAAAGTATTTAAAAAAATCCACGCCATGGAAAAATTATTTAAAAAATTCAATCCTTAGAAAAATTATTTAAAAAAAATCCGCGCCTTGGAAAAATTATTCAGATGTTGACAAATATTTTCATAAAAAATCATCGCTTTGTGTTTACTTACGCATAAATTGGTCTTTGAAAAAATATATTTTTAAAATCAATTCTTAAAATAGGTCCTATAAAAATCCACGATTGTAATAGTCTTTAATAACGTTTTTTTTAATTCCTGGCCTGTAATGTTCCTTAAAAAATCAAATTTCTCAGTTTAAAAAAAGAAAATACGTTCCAACCTAATACCCTTTCAACATTTTATGTTGCAAGTAACAAGTTGCAATTACAAATTCAAAACTTGCTTATAAAAGTCTGAATAAATAACACAAAAAATTACAAATATTCGAGAATATCAAACCGAGTATCTAATGCCTTAGTTTGGACCCGGTTTTAAAATATGTAACACAAACAACGACAACAAGAACACAAACTACATTTACAGCTGTTTTTTTAGCCACAACAACTTAGTCAAAGAGTCAATAAACTCTTTTTTCGATTTCGATTCAATAACAAAAACTGCCTTGAACTCTATTGGCGGGTACTCTGGCTGTTCGTTAAACTTTACTTGGGAACAAAACTAGCAACAATTTTAACTAGTTAAAATAATGCGGGACAGACGGACAGAACATTTGTCCAAAGCCTAGGCTAATATGCAACTTGTTTTAAGTCTCAAAATTGTTTGGTTTGGTTTTTGTGCGCAAAGTTTTTTGCCGCCGCTGCCATTAAGTGAATGAATCGAGTGATTGGATGTCCAGCCCCGGCCGGCCTAAGTAAACATTAGGAATTTGTTTTTGTATTAAAAAAATAGCGAAGCAATTTTAGAATGTTTTTGCGAATCACAAATAATTTTCAAATTAAAATAATAACAATAAAATAATAAATATTTTAACAGCAATCACTTAGCTGTTGCTGTTGATTAAAATTCAATTTCTTTAAATAATTTTTCCAGCACTTGGGAAAATCATAAAAATGGAAATTACGCAGTTGGAGTTTAACAAGAAAACTTGGTGATGATATCTATATTTATGGATTTATGAAGATTTTTTTTTATAGAAACACCATTGAGTCATAAGAGGAAATACAGAAAATATTTTAATGATTTGGGAACTATTACAGGTGTAATATTTTATAGAATATTTTTGGGGGCCCATCAATCTGCGTGTTTTATTTAAAAAAATATAATAAGAGACCATCAATAGGGGAGGGTATTTAAACCAGAAATATGTGTGGACTTATTAAATATATATATATATATATATTTAAACAGTCATCGATTGATTGATTTTTTGACTTTTGGGAACAACATATGGCTTGAATATTTTTAGGGTCCGTTTATAGGCTGGATTTTCTAAAGAGTTTTTTTTTCAGGGATAATCAGTAGAGCCCGATTTTTAAAGAATATTAGTTGTGATGTTTACATTTTTTGCCATTGACCTGACAAAAGAAAACTCAGTATCTCTACACTATCTGTAATATATTTTCTTTCCCAACATGTTGGCCTTTTGTTTCTGACAGATATTCTCCCAAATATTTAATTTATATACAAAACATTTTATGATAAGATAAAAAATTGCGTGTGCCAAAAAATATAGAAAAACATTTAATTTTGGTGACATGCGTGATATAAAATTTAACCCATTTTCCAATTTCTACACTTGACAGCAACAAGATTAGGAATTAATTGAAAATAGGCGTGGATTTTTTTTTAATATTTTTTCAAGGACCAACATAAGGAAATTTTTACAAATATTTTTTCAAGGACCATTGTTTTGTCTTGGTAGATTTTTTTAAAGGACCAAGACAAGGTGTAGATTTTTTAAAAATATTTTTTAAGGAATAGACAAGGACCTATACAAGGCGTGGATTTTTTTTTAAATATGTTTAAGGAATAGACAAGGACCTATACGAGGCGTGGATTTTTAAAAATATTTTAAAGGAATATACAAGGACCTATGCGAGGCGTGGATTTTTTTTATAATATTTTTAAGGAATATACCCATGCGAGGCGTGGATTTTTTAAAAATACTTTTAAGGAAAAGACAAGAACCTCTGCGAGGCGTAGGTTTTTAAAAATATTTTTAAGGAATAGACAAAGACTTATGTGAGGGGTGGATTTTTAAAAATATGTTTAAGGAATTGACAAGGACCTATGCGAGGCGTGGATTTTTAAAAATATTTTTAAGGAATATACAAGGATCTATGCGAGGCGTGATTTTTTTTTTAATATTTTTAAGGAATTTACAAGGACCTATGCGAGGCGTGGATTTTTTAAAAATATTTTTAAGGAATATACAAGGATCTATGCGAGGCGTGGATTTTTTCAAATATTTTTAAGGAATATACAAGGATCTATGCGAGGCGTGTATTTTTTTAAATATTTTTAAGGAATATACAAGGATCTATGCGAGGCGTGGATTTTTTTTAAATATTTTTAAGGAATATACATAGATCTATGCGAGGCGTGGATTTTTTTTTTAATATTTTTAAGGAATATACAAGGATCTATGCGAGGCGTGGATTTTTTTTAAATATTTTTAAGGAATATACAAGGATCTATGCGAGGCGTGGATTTTTTTTAAATATTTTTAAGGAATATACAAGGATCTATGCGAGGCGTGGATTTTTTTTAAATATTTTTAAGGAATATACAAGTATCTATGCGAGGCGTGGATTTTTTTTAAATATTTTTAAGGAATATACAAGGATCTATGCGAGGCGTGGATTTTTTTTTTTCAAATGGACCCTGATTTTTGTGTGACAAATGACAAAAGTTGTATTCTATAGCGGATATATTTACTCCTGTAGGACATAGATCCGAGAAGTTGACAGTATATCCAAGAGGAATGGTTGACCCTTAAAGTGATACCAATTATGTATATTGTCATATGTACTCGGATGTGGGAGTTAACCTTAAATATTTATAGATACTTACGAATTCAGATATTACTTAGTAACCCATTACCACTCTAGCGGAAATATAGCGCTGATCACTTTAAAATTTTCCGAGAGGTTCCAGTTATGGTCAAGGCCAACGCCTTTAATTTTCGGTGATGATCACATAAAAAATTTGGGATGAAGTGGACCGAAAACATAATTTTTGGTGTTTTTTGGAGTTGATTTATAGGCCACAAGCCGAACATCACAACTCAACCCAAGGTGAAGGGAATCTGGATAAGTACTGAATATTGGGAATATTCGGGAAAATCTGACAGTGTAAAAGGCAAGAATGCTCGCGTTGAGCGTTTTTTGTTATCGCGTTAACGCACGCAAAATGTTAAAATATATTTAACTGCGAAGCGCACATCAACTTCGAGCGTTTGTGTTATCGTTTCCTTGTGGTTGTTGTATTTTCGATAACACATAACGCAACGGATGGATCAACACGAGCATTCTGCTTAGCCCTTAAGGAAGAGGTGTGTTGATCTCTAATCGGTCAAAAGAGTGCAAATATCACGAAATATTGCCCAGGCTCGAAATAAACATCCGCAGAAAGATGGAGTTCCGTGATAGTATCGTATGGTCGGCTAGGGATAAGTACATCGACTTTCGACTAATCGACTTTTTGTATTGAAAAGTCTAAAATTCGAAGTCGACTTTTGATCTATGAGAAAATCGTAAAGTCGACTTTTCAAGATCGATTTTATTCATATATACTTGGTTTTTTTATCACAAAGCTCAAATTGTTCAAAAATTTCACTTTCCGGAACTTTACTTTATCTATTCACAATAATTCATATAAAAATCAAATTTTTAGTCGATTTTGCAGAAGTCAGTAAAAGTCGAAAATCGACAGATCGACAGATCGACAGATGACAAAATCGAAAGATCGAAAAGTCGAATTTTAGTCAAAGGCAAAAATCGAAAAGTCTAAAAACCGACTTTTTCGTCAGAGGCAAAAATCGAAACGTCTAAAAGTCGATTTTTGCGCTCGACTACGTATCCCTATGGTCGGCCCTGTCCGACTATACTGCTCCGCTCACAGGGTTTAAATATTTTTTTAAGGACCTATACAAGGCTCGAATTTTCTTGACCTGTCACAAGCTTTGATTTTTAAAAAAATATATTTTTTCGAGGAGCAACACAAGATTTTACGCAGAATCCTCCAAAAGCATGATTTTTTTAATATTTTTCAGAAATCTGACACTAGTAAAAATATTTTTCAAAAAACGATTCAAATCACTAATTGTTTTCATTTTTCATTTCTGGTATTTTAAAAATCCGTCTCCCTTACCTCAACATAAACGTGTATTTGCTATGTTTGGTGGCTTTTTTGCGCGCCAAAATAACCAAAGCCAAAAAATTGCCGATGACACCCAAAACAATGACAGCGGCACTCCACAGCAGTCGACGTTTGTTCTGATACAATTGCACCTGGGATGGCGGTGGTACAACACTTACAGATTCTGTCGCTTCGATATATTTGGCCGTTGTCGAATTATCCTCTGTGAAGGGATTATCCTCGCTGGGATTAAAACAATTGCAAAGTTGCAACAGTACCGCAAGGTAAAGGGAATGTAAAACGCATTGTCGCAACATTTTCGAAATTTCGTTTCGAAATAGTTCGAAGATTACAAATATTATTTAAAATTTAAGTTAGTTTATTCAATTTTGTTTTTCAATTTCTTATTCACTTCAATATTTTTATTATTCGATTTTTCAAAATTTCACCAAAACAAGTGCAGTAATTTACACACAAATATTTGTTAACGCATTTTTCTTGTTATTTTAAGTTTTTGTTGTTCAAAACTATTTGAAGAATTTTCTGTAACGTCTTTAAAACAATTCAATTTGTTGTTGAATTTGCGAACGAACAATCATAAAAATACCGGCCTACTCTCACTTGTTGTTTTGTGCCTGCGTATCGTATTTAAGAAGGCAGCCGGTCGACAGGCGAGAAAATTGCCATCCAATCGTTTACGAGACTTTTGAAAAACTGTGCGATTCCAGTGCCTGGTCGACGATAGACTTTAATAATAATTACAATCGGAGATGCGAGTCGTCGGCAGCTGCAGCAGCCGTTGTGGCCGGCAGCAAATGGCAATATGGCCCAAAGTGTATGATTCGCAGTAGCAGCGGTGACTGCCTCAGTTGACGTCGCTGCCTTGTTTTCCCATTTGCAGTAACAGCAGCAGGTCGTTGTGTGTGCGACTGGATGTGTGTTTACGATTACGAAGTAGGCTCTTCGTCGTTTTGCCAAACGAAGATATTAACTAAGTTATTAAAGAGTTAATATTTTGTTGTTGAGGATTGGTTTTTGTGTTGATGTTTAAGTGGTGGTGTTTGTTTTGTACTAAGGGAAATATACAAAAAATTGCTAGGAGTTTCTGTAGAGTGGTAGGATTTTTTGAAGGAGGATTTTTTGAAGCCTTGAAAACTTAATTTAAAAAAAAACCACGCCTGTGTTGAAACCTTGAAAACTTAATTTTAAAAATCACTGTTATCGAAAAAAAAACATTTTTTTTAAATCCACGAGTTGATTGGGTTTTGAAAATATGTTTTAAAAAAATTTAGGTGGTCTTTGAAAAAATACACGCCTTTAAAAACATATAAAAAAAAAATATTTACGTCCCTGGTGGTGTAGGGGATGATAGATACCAAGCAACGGTTCTGATTGGCTTTAACAGACTTATCTTGGTCCCTCTTTCATCTCAATTTTTATCACCCGATGAAATAGTGAGCTAATATGTACCGCGAGTTCACCCATAAGAACTATAAAAAAAACAGTGAGCTGAGCAGTATAGTCGGACGGGGCCGACCATATGATACCCTACACAACTACCACGGAACTCTAACTTTCTGCAGATCTATATTCCAAGAATGGGCAATATTTCGCGATATTTGCACCCTCTTAAGCGATTAGAGGTCAAAATCTCCTATTTCTTGCCCTGACATCTATTTCGAATTATGTCTTATATCATAATATCCAATTTTTTTCATTTTACACAGAAAGGTATTGGTTGACTTGACTCGCTGAATAGTAACAGAACATTACAAAAGCCCTTCACATTGGTTGGCTAGATTCATTCTCCAGTGTAATATTCTGCTTATAATTGTGGCATATAGATCGACTTGAAAAAACACAATAAAAATAAGTTTCGGTCCACTTCAACCCAAAATTATTATCTGATCATCAGCGCAAATTATAGGTGTTGTCCTTGACCATAACTGGAACCTCTAGGAAAATTTTAAAGCGATCAGCGCTATATTTCCGCCCTTTAGTGTGACAATGGGTTACTAAGTAATATCTGAATTCGTAAGTACATTGAAATATTTAAGGTTAACTGCCAGATCCGAGTACATACGGCAATATAATTGGTATCAATTTAAAGGCCAACCACTCCTTTTGGATATACTGTCAACTTCTAGGGTTTTATTTTTCACACAAAAGTCAGGGTCCATTTGACCCGCTTTATAATGGCCGATCTTTATAAAAACTGGCATGCTTATTCCTTAGCTCGATCCCCTTCTACATGTAAAATTTCGCGACGTTCGGTCTATATATGCGGTCTCTGGAGCGAACAGAAAAACCGACAAAAATGAAGTATTTGGTCCATTTCATCCCCTAAATATTAACCGATCTTTACCAAAAAAATAGGGGTCTTCATTGGCCATCCAACATGCAAAATTTCGTAAAGATTGGTCCTTAATTGTGGCCTGTATCGTGTTTACAAATTATAAAGGACAGACGGATGGACACACATGTCTAGATCGACTCAGCTAAACGAGATATAACGATCGGTATACTTAAATGTGGGTCTAGGACCAATATTTCGCGCCGTTACAAACTTTTGGGGCTGCACAAAGCTATAATACCCTGACAACATAGTTGTGTAGGGTATAAAAACCCCTCCTACTTTGAAAAAAGCAAACGTATAAAGGACCACGATCTGCGAATCTGCACTTGGAATGTGCGCAGTGTTCGCTTTGGCGGATGTACTCAAGCAGTACAAAGCCGATATTATTGCCTTACAGGAAATGCAATGGAAAGGGACTGGCGTAAGTAAATCAGATGATTGCGCTCAGTATTAAAGCAGCCATGAAACGAGACGTGAATTTGGCTGCGGATTTATGGTTAACAGGAGAAGAAAAGACCTCGTCTCCAGATTGAGCGAATCCAGTAGTTGAGCGAATTGCTGTAATCCGTATAAAAGCGAAGTTCTTGTACATCAGTCTCATTTGTGCCAATGTTCCGACCGAAGATAAAGATGAACAGACCAAAGACATATTTTACGAGCGCCTAGAAACAGCATATGACCGTTGCCCTGGCCATGACAGTAAAATTCTGCTAGGAGATTATAATGCAAAAATCGGAAGGGAAAATATCTTTGGCCCCACCTCCATGAAGAAACATCAGACAACGGCATGAGGTTGATTGACTTCGCGGCAGCAAAAACATGGTAGTTAGCAGCACCAGATTCAAGCATCTCGATATACACAAGGCCACTTGGATTTATCCCGATCGAACAACGACAAATCAAATCGATCATGTTGTGATAGACGGAAGACATTCATCCAGTGTTTTAGACGTCCGATCGATCCGAGGAGCGAATATCGATTCGAACCAAAACCTTGTGACAGCCAAGGTACGTACCCGTGTTAATGTAGCAGCAAAGGTGCGGAAATTTGACGTCGAAAAGTTGAAAACACAACAGATAGCAGAAGCCTACTCCGCTCAACTTACCCAACTTCTTGATGAAAGCACCCCTTGTCCCGATAATAGTATAGAAGCACAATGGCAAACTGCAGCAAAAGCAACACTTGTGTACCAAAAACCACCACCAATAAATCCGTGGTACGATCAGGAGTGTCGTAATGCTACTGATATGAAAAACGCAGCGTATATGGCAACCCTGCGGACAGTAGCAACACGTAATGCGATGGAGAACTATCGGGAGAAAATGAGAAACGTATTTTCAGAAAAAAGGCAGAACAAGAAAAACGTGAGCGCGAGCAAATCGAGATGTAAACGAGTCAGAATGAAGTCCGGAAATTTTACCAACGAGTAAAACACCAAACCGAAGGCTTTGATGCAGGCACATCATCCTGTAGAGATGCAGAAGGAAACCTGATGACAGATACAGACAGCGTGTTGAGGATCTGCAAGGAGCATTTTGAAAAGTTTCTGGTATTAAATAGAGGCGGTGAAGAAGATACCCCAGAACCAATAAGAGAGGATGGTGTGGAGTGCATAACTCCTAGCCAAGATGAGGTCATAAAAGCAATTAATCGGCTCAAGAACAATAAAGCAGCAGGAGCCGATGGGTTACCAGCCGAACTATTCAAGACTAGTGGTCAGATGCGGGTCAGGACCAGCACCAGCTGATTAGTACAATTTAGCTTGAGGAATGAATGCCCAATGATTGGAACCTCAGCATCCTGTGTCCGGTGCAAAAAAAGAAGACAAGGCGATATGTGCCAACTATAGAGGAATTAGCCTTCTTCCCATCGCATATAAAGTTCTATCCAGTGTGCTGTGTGAACGATTGAAGTCAATGGTCAATGACATTATTGGACCATACCAATACGGCTTCAGACCCGGCAAGTCCACCATTGACGCATACCACCTATTCGTCGACTTTAAAGCCACAGTCGACAGCCCTATCCGTTCAGAGGTATTAAAAGCCATGTCTACGTTCGGCATTCCTGCAAAATTAATACGGCTATGCAGGATAACTTTAAGTGACACAAGGTCAGCAATTAAAGTCTGAAAGGTCCTATCGGAGCCCTTCCATATCGATCGACGATTCAGACAAGGTGATAGTTTGTCGTGTGATCTGTTTAACATCCTGCTGGAAAGGGTCATAGAGAGGCAAAAGTGTAGCGAAATGGCACTCTGTACACCAAACAAGACATGTTACTCGCCTACGCCGATGACATCGATATAATGGGTCGAACATTGCGAGCGGTAACAGCCACCTTTGAACAAATCGAGAAGGAGTCTGCCAAAGTGGGTCTGACAGTAAACGGAGTAAAAGAAGACCATGCTGATCGTATCAACGCGCAAGACGTCCAGTAGACTCGGACCAAGTGTGGAACTTGAGAACTACAGCTTCGACGTAGTCAATGATTTTATATACCTTGGTACTGCCATAAATGAAACTAATGACATCAGTTTTGAGATTCGGAGAAGGATTGTGATGACCAGATGGTACTATGGTCTGAGCAAAGCACTCAAAAGCAAGGCCACCTCCCGCCAGACCAAACTCACACTTTACAAGACGCTGATACTACTCGTGCTATTATATGGATCTGAAGCATGGGTACGTGGGCAAGCAGATGAGATAGCAGGTCTTGGGGTGTTTGAAAGAAAAATTCTCCAAAAGATCTGCGAGCCGATCTGCGTCGACGGTGAATATTGGCGTCGAATGATCCATGAGCTGTACCAGCTATTATCGGATATTGACATTTTTAGACGCATTGAGCTGCAGCGACTACGTTGGCTAGGTCATGTTGTGAGAATGAATGAAGATACCCCAGGCCAGACGGCATATAAAAGCGAACCAGCTGATGGTTCACGCAGAAGGGGAAGGAATAAG